AAGAAAAAAAAAATATATATATATATATATATATATATATACATATCCGCGCCAAATATAAAATTTCAATTCCTCTTTTAATAATTATTTTTATTTATTAAACGCCTATTTTACAAATATTTTTATCCTCATTATTTAAAAATCTGTCGAGAATTTTTTTTGAAAATATTCGACTACCTTGAAACAAAATTCGTATAAACATCATTTATCAGATTAAATAGATTGGATAGATTAATTTATTCTCTGCAAAACGATTCGATTCCTTCAAAGGTCTTGTTGAATCCAAGACGGACGATCTTCCGTCGATTTCTTCTTGGCACCTCCTCCTTTCCCCCTCTTCCCACTTGTAAAAAATCATATTCCAATTGCTGGTATGCAGACGCTCGAAGCGCCCTCCACAGAGGACCTCGCGGATTCGTTGACGCTCGGTGAAATTACGCTTCTAAGTCGACCAATCGAAAGGCCGAAAAATGCCGAAATTCACAAAATACGAACGTGCACACATACTATCTCGTACATTCCTCCTTCTAGTGAAGGAACTATGCGCGTCGAGAAACTCGAAACAAGTACAGAAGAAGAAGAGGGGAGAAGAAAGAGCTGAAATCGTAATAAAAGGAGAAGGAACAAGTGAAGAGAGAGAGAGAGAGAAAGAGAATATACGGTTGGATGAGGTTAAAACCGTTAATACTTTTCGTCTGGAATCGTTGCGCGAATGAGGGGAAAAAGGAAAGAAGAAAGGGAGAAAGAACATTGGGACGTAGGATCGTTATAACAATAATTCAGAAAGGAAAAGGATGGAGTCAAAGAGATGCGAGGAGAAAAGGAACGTCTGAAGCAATAATGGAAAAGAAAGGAGGGAGGGAAGGGGGGAGGAAAAAGTAGACATTGGTAAACACTGTGCACTGTTTAGAGTTAGTTGCAATAATTCAGATGGAAGGATGAAGAAAAATAGAGAAAAATAAACGCGCCGTGTGATCGCAAGAGTGGTTGCAATAATACAAAGAAAAAGGAGAAAAGAGAAACGCGTATGAATAGTACTGCATTGATGCGGATTGAGAAGAAAAGGGATACGTGCGGCAAAAAACGTAACGCAAAAGAAAGGAAAGCTGAGCATTCTGAAATAATCGCATTAATACAGAAAGAAAGAAGGAAAGAAAGAAAGAAGAAAAGAAAAGGCACGAAGGTGGTATCGAGGTGGAGTATGGAAACGGGGAGAACAATGGAAAAAGGCGAAGAGCAAAGAGCGGAGGAGTATAAAGAGAGAAGAGAAGAGAAGAGAAGAGAGAAAGAGAGGGAGAGGGAGATGGCACGATGCATGCATCTGCGCAATTTGCTCCCAGCTTCCAGATAATAATTTAATTTGCCATACCTTGGCAGATTTATGACGGCGCACCTTCGACCAAGCACCGTCTACCTGTAAGAGCACGCCTATTCTCCTGTGCGTCACCTCGTGAACGTAATCAGCTTCCAGGCAAGTTCGAGTACGGGCGTTTATGTCGAAATAAATCTAGAATCCTCGGGATTGTGCCGTATTCTTTCGGGTTATACTGAAATTCCGTGATATTTATTTCTCTTGAAAATTCTGTTGAGAATTGAATACGATTCTACGATTCCTTTTTCTTTTCGCAATTATGTGAAAACATTTTTTTAATCGAATGTTTATAATAGATCACCTTATATAATCCTTATTCGAACATCGTGTCAAAACGTGTATAAATTATTCTTAGATTCTTTTCACAATTGTATAAAAATTCCGTGATATTTATTTCGTTGGAAATTCGTAGAAAAATTATGAAAATACTTTAATAGATAACATATTTACAGAGGAAATCTCACCTTTCCAAATTCCAAAATATATGATATAATCCTTATTCGAACATGAAAACGTGTAAATTATTCCTTGATCTTTTCTACACTCTTTTTTACACTCGTATAAAGAATCCATTTTCACCGAATCAAAATTAAACCCCGACATTGCTAACGATTGCTCTCGTGAAAACTACGCGTGAAAACTATTGGAAACAACATCTAATCAAACGGTTATTTCGCGTCTGCCGCCCTCTCAAAGAGATTCAAACCCGGGAACATTGTTCGCCCGTACAAGCCTCTCCCCTCTCCCCTCCGCTTTGATCCCAATATCATCGACCTATCCAATAAACGTAATGCCAGGCTTTGAAATGTCCGTGTAAGCCACTCAACGTAACAAAGGGATCACGGGGCACGGCATCTTGCGGGGACAGCGGTGGAAAAGGGTAGATCGGGATGTCAAATTCAATTCTAACTCTCTAAGCGGTCGAAACCGATGGCGATGTTGTACCGTACGAATTAATCCCTCGTATAATACTGTTATACGAGCGAGCTCCTGAAATTACCCGAACGTTACGTATCCGTGCCGCCAATTACACTCTCGCGCGCCCTCTGCAACTCTCGAAACGATTGCTTCATTTACGTGTCGCGTAAATAAGCATTCGCTTCCCACCAGAGGGCAGATCCGCGGTCCACGGATCCGTTGATGGCCGGGCCGAAAATTACATTCGAGAATGCGTTGATCGCGTGAGAATCAGCAAACAGATTCCGATAGTTTCGTGAATGGTTTATCGTTGGCGAATTAATACCGTCGAGGGTAATTCGTAGTCATGGCGATTGTTGGAGAATTTACATAGGGAGGAATTCGAGGTTAATGTTTACACATCAAAAGATTTAACGTTTAGAGGAAAAGAGATGTGAAAAGATTGTGTTGTTTATCATTATCGAAATCTAAATAATTGTGATTTCACATAATCATAGTGAATTATTGGAATTTCCTTTGGGAGAATTCATGAAAGTTAGGTTATGATTTGTCTTAATTTTTCGAGAAGATCTGAAAAGATTCTGAATGTAATTTATCATTGCTTCAAATAATTGTGATTTTATAATTGTGGTGGTTATTGGAATTTCTATAAAGAGAATTAATAAAAATTAGGTTATGATTTGTTTTAGTTTCTCAAGGAGATCTGAAAAAACTCTGAGTGTAATTTATCATCGGTTATATACAATAATATTATTGATTTTATAATCGTGATGGTTGTTAAAATTTTCATAAGGAGAATTAATGAAAATTAGGTTGTGATTTGTCTTAGTTTTTCGAGATTTGAAAAAACTGAGTATAATTTATTATTGTTGTGTTCAATGTGCAGTAATATTGTGATTTCATAATCGTGATAGTTGTTGGAATTTCCATCGAGAAAATTCATGAAAGTTAGGTTATGATTTGTCTTAGTTTTTCGAGGAGATCTGAAAAGACTCTGATTTCATAATTATAGTAATTGTTGAAAGAATTAATGAAAATTAGGTTATGATTTCTCTTAATTTTTCGAGGAAATCTAAAAAAGTTTTGAATATAATTTATTATCGCATCTAATATTCACTAATGCTGTGATTTCATAATCGTGATTGTTATTGGAATTTCCATCGAAAGAATTTTGGAAAAGTCAATGTTTCGTCCTTCATCGTTATAATTTCGTGATTTTATTAGTCACTATTATGATTTTTCGAAAAGACTTAAAAAGATCTCTAAAAGTTTCTGATAACTATCGTGCTTATTCGAAATTCAGAAATTCTTGAGATTCTCAAAAGTCGATATTTTATTTTTTACTATTAAGAATTATGCTTCTTTACTATAGTGATGAATACAAAATTTGTAGTATTAATTAATTTTTGAAGGAGATTTAGAATAATATAATTTGAATTTTAATAACGAAGTCGAAAGCGTAAAGCAGTGATGAATCGGCGTCGTTGAGATTCACGACACTTTTAAGAAATTATCGTTGAGCTAGAAATAACATCTTACCTAGATTCATAGATTTGATTTCACAGTTACAGAATTGGAGTTAAATTTCGAGAAAAAGATCCGATTAAGTCCCGGGAAGGAATGAAATACGGATGGTAAACGACATTTGTAAATTTTAATACCGAGGATGGGAGTGGCTGTTTAAAAATTGAGGCCATGTTTTACGTCCACCGGCACGTGGGAGAACTTCTCCAACAACGATAATATTTCAACGAAAAAATTCATCTGGAGAAACAGCGGCAAAAGCAATTTTTCTGTTTTTAAGGATGCGATAAATATTTTCGGTAAATATAACACCGAAACTAAGTAATTCGTATCGTTAACCATGCTTTAACTATGTGATTCCTTCCATTAATCCAGACACGAGAAATTTATAATATAATACGAGTAACCACGACATATATTTCGTAATAACAGAATGAACAAAAGTTTATCTCGTAATTTCAGGATTAAAAAAAAGAAAAAGAATCGAGAAAATTCATGAAAGTTAGGTTATGATTGTCTTAGTTTTTCAAAGAGATCTGAAAAAACTCCGAGTATAATTTATTATCGTTGTGTTCAATGTGCAATAATATTGTGATTTCATAATCGTGGTAATTGTTGAAATTTCCATAAGAAGAGAATTCATGAAAATTAGATTATGATTTGTCTTAATTTTTCGAGATCTGAAAAGATTGATTTTCATAACCATAGTAGTTGTTGGAAGAATTCATGAAAGTTAGGTTATAATTTCTCGAGGAGATCTGAAAAGATTCTGATTTTCGTAATCATAATAATTATTGGAAGAATTAATATACCAATATTACCGATAATATTAAAAATGATGTTAAATATCGTCAAAATCGCGTATAGGATCCTATACCGATATTGATCACGTTCAAGCCTCTTAACTGTTAACTGTTCATTATATCGAAATATTAAACTGAATACGTATTTCGTTAAAACTACTTCGAAGCTATAGATGGAATAGAGGCTTTATTAACGTCAGATTATCGATAAACTCTTCGAAAGACGTAATCTACCGTTAAATCGTTATATTTCTATTTCAAACTTCGAATCGATAGAATAAAGCAATTATCAAAGGACGTTCAACAATGCGATCGATATTATGATCTAACTTTCGGGCGCGCAAACTTTGACCATTAAAAATCGAAATTCGATCTGCAAACCAACTTCGAGGAAAAATAATAAATCTTAAGATCGATAATTGTCAATAATTAATCCAATGTTTCATAAAAGCTTAATTCGAATCCTTATATACATTATATATATTACATTATATATTACATTAATCGTGAA